ACGCGCTCCGGCCGCGACACCAGCGTGCACGTGCAGCCCGGAGCGAGCCGAGACTTGGTCAGGCAGAGACAGAAACAGCCCTAACGGCAGGCAAACTCCTTCCACACTTGCTGCTACCGTGACCGACGGGGAGCTAGTTTAGAAGGGAGGCTGAGTGTGTCCCCAGAGGGGGGACAGCTGCACGACCAAACTGCCTAGGGTGAAAAAGCGTGCTTTTTTGCCAGCGGGAGGAACGGGACGTGGCAGTGCCCTGGCACCCTGCTTTGCTGAAGGGTGCCATGTCTAGGGAGAGTATTCTTCCTGCTCAGAGCGAGGTGTGACTGGAAGAACAGGACGTGAGGCTTAGCCTACCTGCTGCAGCACAGACTCGCCTTGTAGCCTCTGCAGCAGCTTCACCTCCAGCAGCCCTTCGATGATGTAGCCGATAGTGCAGTCGTCGGGGAGACGCACGCGTTCCGCCGTACTGATGAAGTTACCCAGGCTGCGGAAGAGAGGACGGAGAGGTGAAACACACTTCAGAGCCCACCAACGCACGGCGACGGGGCTCGGCTAGGAGCAGCGTTCACCTGGCCCAGGGACTCATCTTCAGGGCAAGACCTCTGCTGATGCAGAACCCTGCTCCACCTGTGGCAAACCAGAATTTCACGGTTGTCTTCTGAGGAGCAACAAGAAAAAACACATAGCAGTTACTGATGATCAGGTTTTTCCTTCTGGCTGAGCAGGAGAGGGGACCCGGGGTTCTACCGGAGACCGCAGGCCACACTGGAGTCAGAATTCCTGTTCCTTTAGGCTGCTGAACGCCCGGCTGGCCGTGCTGGCGCACAAACGGAACCGAGAACAGGCAAAGTACCACATCAGCACGACTGAGGCAGCACACGTGCAGTGGGGAACCATAGTCCCCCTCCTACCCAACTCCATGTGTCCCTTGGTCATTCCAGCCAAGGATCACAGCCAGCTCAGTGTTCCCGAGGAAATCAAAGGCCACTTGGCTCCATGTCCAAGGAGACTGCATTGTTACGCAGAGTCACCCCTAACAAGCTGCTTTGTAACCGACTTCCTGGACAGTGGATGGATTTATCTGTAGGTCTGTGACCCGGTGAGGACTTGTCCTTCAGCACATCTATCCCGTGACCGAGATATGTTTGCTTCCACTTCTGGGAAGCCTAGTAACCACTCAGTATTGGAAATGCCTTCTAGACCCAGAGAGTCTCTGTCACCCACCAGAGGTTGGTTCAAGATGATAACGATGTCATACTGCTCTCAAAATAAGCAAAAACCCCAAAACAAGGAACACTGCCCCCAAAACCACTAAAGGAAAAGAATGAGTCAAGGTAGGGAGGCCCCACTCTCCTCAGTGTGAGGGAGATCATAGAATTACAGACTGGTTTGGGTGGGAAGGGACCTTAAAGCTCCCCAGTGCCACCCCCTGCCATGGGCAGGGACACCTTCCACTAGACCAGGTTGCTCCCAGCCTCATCCAGCCTGGCCTTGGACACTTCCAGGGATGGGGCATCCACAGCTTCTCTGGGCAACCTGTCCCAGTGCTCCCCACCCTCTCCAGGAAGAATTCCTTCCTGATAGCTCATCTAAACCTCCCCACTTTCAATTCAAACCCGTTACCCACAGCACAGGTGCATGAAGGAAGGGAAACAGACACCCGGAAGAAGAACTGCCGCACACACAGACACGAGCTCAGACCGAAGGTTCATTTAACCCAGCACGGTCTCTGGAAAGGACCAGGGCTGGCAGAGTAAAAATCCTTCTTTTTGGGGGGAATCCTATGAACTCTCAAGGCTTTCAAAGCTGGGAAGGTCAGGATGTCCCTCAGACCGGCGGGTTTGCTTACTGATCCATCGCTCTGGACGTGGTCAGCTGCTTCGATGGGATGGTCCAGACTCGGCCGCCCCACGTAGACATCCTGGCTGTGCGAAAAGGCGGATAAGAGACGCAGGAGAGTGCGAGGGTTCACATAGTTGTCATCGTCCACGTGGCAAAACCATCTTCAAAGAAAGCAAAGCAAAGTTACTGCAGAGCATGGCAGAGAAACGAGTTACAGGTTTAGAGCTGAGCTTTCGTCTTTCAGGCTTGGAATGGGAAGCGTTTCCCGTGGTCCTGAAACAGAGAGTTGTGAGCACACAACTGGAAGAAACAGTCCGTCAGAACAATGTGTTTCACCTACTTGTGCCCAGATTCCAGGAATTTATCATATTCCACAGACATCTTGCAGCAGAGAGCTTGCCGGGTATGGACAGCAGAACAGTTGGTGTTGATCATATGATCCCCTAGAAAAACAAAGATCAGCCCTTTCAGGTTTCAGAGGCGCGCGCAGCCCTTGCTGGGCAACAGGAGCGCGGGTCTGGCACCCACCCCGTACCGAAGCGCGTACGGGGCGCACGCAGAGAGCGAACGGCAGGACGGGCAGGGTGCGGGGCTGCAGGT